ACAAAGTTATAGACATTTTAAATAGCTAATTAATATGTACGTGTTTAACATTAATATTTCTACATTTTAGATATCAGCCTTCATTTTACCTATGAATAGGGGTGGCTAGCCAAATATTTGCATGGAGGATACCCAGTTTATTTGATAGGTATGCACCAGACATAGTGGAAGCCATAGGCCAAAATTGGTCTCAACTTAGGTAGATCTCTTGGCAATATTTTCACAATAATTGTTTGACTGTCCAGTTCATCTGCTCTACTTATCCTAATCTGTGCTTCCAGTAAGCCTTGTGAAGCATCCATTTTATCTTGAACATTGTGTGAGCTCTTGGACTAGGACAGGTATGAATGAGGGTCAAATAACTGACCCTAAAGTCAGAAGAAGTCCAAATCTTTGCATGATGGCTCCTAACAGCTTAAACTGTACCAAACCTGAATCCTACTTGGTCATGATGTGTAGTCTTCTAGATGATTTTATGCATTCTCTGCCAGTATCTTATTCTGGATTGTTGCATTTATGTTATTTAAAGGATTTAGCCTGGAGTTTTAGTCTCTCCTCTTTCTCTCTCTCTCTCTCTCTCTCTCTCTCTCTCTCTCTCTCTCTCTTTATTTTTAATTTTTGATGTCTCTCTGGTTTTGGTACCAGCATAATACTTTCTTCCAGAAATGGTATTGGAGTATTGTTTCACTTTTCATTGCATTAAAGTGTTGGAGTATTAGTGTCATTAGACATTCTGTAAATTTTTGTAGAATGCAGGAAGGAAATCATCAGGGCCTAGAATTTCTTTGTTGATACACTTGAATTGCATATCAATTTCTTTGACTGACATGACTTATTTATAAAATTTATAACTTCTTGATTCTATTTTGGTAGCTTATATGTGTTTAGGAAACTCTCGATTTCTACTTTGTTTTCCATTTTATTAGACTTCAGCTTCTTAAAGTAGGTTTTGACAATTTTCTGGATATCCATAGGATTTCTTGTGATTTCACACTTTTCATTTTTAATTACTATAGTTTTTGTATTTTCTTTCCAATTTTAAGTAAGGTTGAATGTATATTTAGCAATTTTATTTACTTCTAAAAGAAAATGTTTGATTCATGATTTTTGCTGTTTTCTTAGTGTGAGTTGAATTAACTTCTGCTCTGATCTCTAGTTTCCTGTTTTGTGTGAGCTGTGAGGTGAATTTGTTTTTCCATTTCTAAAAGTTTGACATTCAACATAAGGTGTTTATTTAAACTCATTCACTTTTCCTGACATGAGAATGTACTGCTATAAGTTTCCCTTTTAAAATTACTCTCATTTTGTGCTATAAGTTCCACTATGTTGCATCAACATTTTCATTTATTTGTAGACAATAGTTTCTCTGTAATTCATTGGTTGTTCGGGAGGGTGTGGTTCAAATTTTATGTGTTTATATACTTTTTGTGTTTTCTTTTGCTTTGATTACCAGTTTCATTGCACTATGTTCAAATAATATTCATATAATAATTTTATTCTTCTGTATTTTTCCAAGCATGTTCTATTTTCTAATATGCATTCCTTTTTGGATGATGTCCCATGTGCACCTGAGAACAATTTGAATTTTAATGTTTTGTGGTTGGCACTCTATGGATTTCTAGGACATCCATTTGTTCTCTGGTGTGTTTCAATTCTGATTTTTTAAGTATTTTTTGAATAGTTGATCTATTTAACTGTGTAAGTCGGTTGTTGAGATCTCCCAATATAATTTTGTTATTGCTGATGTAATGCTTCATGCCTGATATTTGAGTTGGGTAGTCTCTTTGATGTAGTCTCTTTTTGTCAATTTTCAATGTAATCTTAATTTCTGGATATCTCTTTGAGTCTGTTTCATACATTGATATTTCTTCCTCTATTAGTCTTTCAAGATATCCATCATTCTCCCATGCTCCTCTTTCCTTAAAAAAATATAACTCTTCTTTAAATATACTCAGAAAGTTTTTTCATTATGTCTGTCATTTCTCCTTTTACTGAGATATTATTTCTGAGCTGATTATTTTGTAGCCTCATGAAACTGATTCCTTACTTCAATTTCTATCTCCTGAGAAATTTCAATTCTATAACTTCGAACTCTTTCCATGTCATTGTTTTCCAGACTTTTCTGCATGTACTGGAATTCTGGGATTGCATGTTCCACACTCATCTTGATATTTTTCTTCAGATGAGCTGTTTGAGGAGTCCTAGACATTTTGCACATTCATTGCCCATGACTAATGTAGGAAATGAGCTGTAGTCCTGAATTTCTGTGACTAGGTCCCTGGGTGGGCATAGGGTGAGCATTTCTAGATAGGAGCATCTACACTAAAGTTGCCCCAATTGCCACTTGTCTTAGATACTTTTTACTTGTCAGTGAGACAAAATGCCTAATGTCCAAAGTTGGGAATGGAAATGCTTATTTCTTACAATTTGTGGAGGTTTCAGTCCATAATTTTTTGGCCCCCAGGCAAGGTGGCATGGCTGGGCCTCAGTTCATAGCAACTGGAAACAGCAAGCAGAAACCAGTAAGAAAGAGACATACCTTTTTCCTGCCATTACATTGTATGTTGGCTCCTAGGCCAGTGTAACACTGACATAGTCAATCCAAGCACTAGACAATGAACCAATCACAAATGCACAATGCAAGAGCGTGAGGCTTGGGGGCCACCAACATAAAGCTGAAATTCCACCCCTGGTCCCCAGGACTCATGCACATCCTTTATTAAAATAAAAGACATTTAGTCCATTTTCAAGAGTTGCTAAAGTCCTAACATTTTCAGCATTACTGAAAAGCCCAAGTCCCAAGCCTCCTTCAAGATCTATGGCAAATTCTTAACTCTAACACACTTTTCAAATGAAACAAGTTTAAACATTTTTCAAATGCAAATGCACAAGATAAACATTACCATTCCAAAAGTTACAAACAAGGTTATATAAAGCATTGGAAACCAAGCAAGTCCAACAGCCAGTAGGGCAAACATAAAGCCCTAAAGTTCCATGCTCAGCATTTGAAGCATTCTGGTTGCAAACTCCAAAAGGCTTGGGTGATTCTACCCGCATTGTATTTCCAGGGATTTCAGCTCCCACAGCTTTTCTCTTAAACCCTCTCTGATCACCTTTTGCAGTTTTCCTTGGATGATCCATATTCCTTGCTTTTCCAAATTTCCGGGGTCCGCACTGCATCTTTCGCTCCACCCTTACGCCTTTACACATTGACCTCTCTGGGGCACCATGTGAATGTCAGCAAGGTTTGCTGCCAGCTGGAGCAGTATCCAGGCTTTTTTTTCTCTTGGCTGCAGGGGCTCAGTGCCTGGATCACTGGGCTCTATTTACCTAGTTGTAAGGAAATCTTCTCTATGTTGCCACTATTCTGGAATTTCATGTTGCTGCAGCCATTCTGGAACCTTGTGTGGCTTCTGTCACCATTCTGGAGCTGGTTCTCTGAAGCTTTTCTCTCTGAACAATTTTTTTTTATATATTTTCAGTTTTGAGGCTGCAAAGGATGTGACCCATTGCCTCCTGGGATTCCCTGTGGCCATCTTTCATGTCTGTCTGTTTCTTATCAGCAATCAAAGACTCAGTACTATTTTTACAATCCAGAGCTTGACACTGGAGTTTTCTTTCTTTCCAAAATCAGCATTGTAAGTTATCCTGCTGGACTCTTTGCTCTAGATATGCAACATAAAGCTGGATAAAAGCCCCAAACAATAGCCATGCCTCAGCTTCAACATTCAACTGCCTTCACATTTCCACTGCCAGATTAATAGTCCATTGCCCTTAATCTCAGTCTCAGGCAAAGTCTCTGAGCATGAACAAAATGCTGCCAAACTTTCTGCCAAGCCATAACACATTGTGGGGAGTCCAGCAACTAGTACAGTCCTTCTTCCCAGCAGAAACATCCCAAGCCTGGTTTTACCATCAGGCTTTCTATCAGACTTCTGGTCTCCAGAGCCCTGATCAGAATGTACACTACAGAACAGTCTAAGCTGCTCTAGCTCTATGCATCCAGTCAACATGTCTGAACCTTTCCAAACTTCCCACAAGCCATTTCCAAAGGGTCTCAGAAAGCATGGTGAAGTATATTCAAAGCAAACAACCCCATCTGGTACCAAATTCTGTCTTAGTTATTTTTTACTGTTCACTGAGACAAAATACCTGATTCCCAAATTTGGGAAAGGAAAGGCTAATTTCTTACAGTTTTGGGAGGTTTCAGTCCATATATAATTGGCTCCAGGGCAAAGTGGCATAGTGGTGCTGCTGTTCATGGCAGCTGCAAGCAGCAAGTGGAAACCAATAAGAGAGATGGACACACATTCTTCCTGCCATTACATTGTATGCTGGCTCCACTGCTAGAGGTGAAATACCAAAATCATCAGTCCAAGCACTAGACAATGAACCAGTCACAAATGCTCAATGAAAGTGCAGGTGGCTTGGCATCCACCAATATAAACCATGACACTGTTGTCACACATGGGCAGTTCTACTTTTCCTTCTGGCCTGTGCAGCTATACTGGGACTCCTCTGTTGGAGCCAGTGTTCAGGGATGTGTCTGGCATTTTCCCCAGTCTATAGGAAGCATGCATCCCGTGTGGCAGTAATCAGGCACCTGGGATGTGTTTGAATGCTTCTCCAGGAGTGCACTGATTACATGTGAGAAGAAGGCATCCCTGAAGGTGACTGGGTTGGATGGATACTGGGCATATAAGGCTGTTACCTCTGACCTTTTTGGCTACTATCATTGTAGCCTGTATTATTCTGAATTAGCTGGTTACTTATGGGGGTTTGGGTGGCTGTGGGGGAACTATTTTCTCTCAGCCCACAGGCCCCTGGGTCTCAGAATTGTGTGGTTTCCTTGATGTGACTGCTTCTTGATCACAGGGGTGTGGATCCTTTTTTCTCCTTTGGTTAGCATAAAAGCTGTTGGCTCATAGAGGGTGGGATTTCCAATGTTTTTCTCAACCATAAGGCTGATTCTGAGTTATAGGGGTTCTGCATTCTTCCAATACTATTTCTTTCTAATTCATTGATCATTACATTCTCAATTTTCTGAAAAGGCCAGAAGACAACAGAAAGACATCCTTTTAGGCTTCATTTGAAATCAGCAGCTTTAGCACACTGGTGACCTTGATTTAGATTCTCTCCAATTTTATTATCTCTGACAATGTTTGTCAATTTTTGATAGATAATTTTATCACTAGTATCAACGCCACCTCAGGAGATGCTGATTCTTAAGGAATGTCTTCTACATATAGGTGGTTTTATGTCTATCACAAGAATATACTTTCCCTATTTCTTGAATATAAAAAATATGCTGTTAGATTCAGCATTCAGTCCCATGATACTGGATGATGATGATGGTTATGACCCAGTACAATCAATGTTATCCCTAATGAGAGAAAATCAAATTATAACACATATGCCATACTTACTAAAGCAATTCAGCTAACAATAGCAATACATCATCAAGTACAGCTGAGCAACTGACAAACCGTGTTACTATTTGCCTGCTATTCTTGACCATAGGAATAAGTTCTTCAGATATATCAAAAAATCCAACTTATCCTGGAAAGTACTATACAATGATTTTCCCCTTAATGGAATGATTTTCCCATACTGTGGGGTGAGATATTGTCAAGATTTTGAGAATCAGAGAAGTTTCCTACAGTATAATGAAGAAAGATAGTCTCACTGTGCAACCAAGAAGGTCAGTCAGTCATGTCCCAGGTGTTCTGAGCAGCTATGAGTATCTGTAATAGAATATTTATCATATGTAAGATAGACATTCCAATATGAGTCATCATATGCTGGCCAGAACAATAATTGGAATATTGAAGTATCCAAATTTAAACTATATCCAGATAATATTATAAATCTACTGTGGAAAATTTCTCTAAATTCCAAAAGAAAGATTGGACTAAGGCTGTTATACAGTTTAGACATTTGCTTGGGCGTCCCTTAAATGGAAATATAAAGACAAATATAATGCCATAATCTCACTGACAATGACACTATTAGGATTCTCTCAATGAACAACTGATCTTCAAAAAATTAACAATTTGTCTCAAAAATGACAGGTATTTGGAAAAAGAACATTTAGAAAAGTTAAAAACTTCTACCACTAGTAGAAGTATTATTTTATGTTACATAAATATATAGTAAGTGAACTCAATACAAATATAACAAGAACATTGCTTCCTCTAATTTAGATAGATAGATAGATAGATAGATAGATAGATAGATAGATAGATAGATATGACAGCTGTGTATTTTTTTATTTAAAGAGAAAAACAAAACTAAACGAAGCAAAACAGTAAAAGGCTAGAAGTAATACAGAATTTCAAGAGAAAAAATATACAGTAAGAATTCACCAGTTTATAGAGCACGTATTGTCATCTTAGAAACAGTTGTCCAGATTACAAAATTAAAGCATACAAAGTGGACATTAATACAGTGAGATTGCAGTCAGTTCTGTTCAATGATCCAAGAAAAACTCAGCAATATGGTTCTCTATCCTACAAATTTAAATATACTTGCAGTTATATCCTTTAGAATCACTTTCCTTCCTCTCTTTTTTACTCTAACAATCACACATTTTAGTTTCCATTACTCCCACAATTCTTATAACATTTTCTTTGAAGAAGAAAAGAAAAAAGATTTTAAAAAGCCTAAAAAACAAAACAAAAAAAAAAACAACAAAACAATATGGACCAAAGAAAAACCCAATGTGACAAAGCAAAACAGAGCCAATTAGATCAGGAGGATGGGCATAGTATATAATAATTTTAAAAAAGGATTACTAGGTGATCAACAATGGTTACCATTATGTCTCTTGTTATCCTAAAAAGAGTAGTCTATACCAGCTGGTTTAAAATAATTGAACAAAATTGTACAGAAGACCAATGAAACCAAAATTGGAGAGCTTACAGGACTTCCAAAGAAGATAATAGTCAAACAATAATGGGCATCATAGAATATCTGGTTGCCTTCCAAATGGTTGCCTATGCCCTCAAACTTGATACTATTAAGCAAAACAAAATATAATAAAATCAGTCAGAACAAGATGTGGAGAACAATACAGGGGTTCAAATCAGGTTAATAGGGAAACAAAATAGTTACTATAATCTATCACACTATTTTTAATTTAGTTTTCCCTTAGTTAAAAGATACTAAGAAATAAATTAATTTTTTAAAAAAGGAAAGAAAAAGGGTGGGGGGGAGATTGAGATTAAAAAAAAGAACATACCGATAGAACAACACCAGTCAGAACCAAAAAATTTAAGCATCATTGAGATTCACCTCCAGATAGCCTGACATTAGTAGTAGTTGTCATAGTGACTCTTTCCTTGATATATTTGAGTCTAACTTCGTATACTATAGCATCAAACTTATCAAGACAGTGTGAAACCATTGAAGAGAGTGAAATTATTGCAGGGTATTTAGAACCAGCTAGCAGAAACTGAAGATCAATTTCTATATTATCTCTTTGTCTATAAAAATTTTGCTTATACTATTGCATACATTAAGATATAATAAGATACAATGTGTTAGAACCAACGGAAGCAGACGAACAACTTGATGGGACTTCAGGATTGCATTGCTTGTTTTTCTTTTGGTGCCATCAGGAGCACTAAAAGTTTTCAAAACCTTTCCTTTAAAGGATCATTCTTTCTAGAGCTGCAAAACCCAGCTTTCCATCTCCTCTGGTGAGAGTCTGTATATGGCTCTGCCAATTTCCATCTGTGAACATAAGAGATGACAGGATCCTGAAGCAGAAAGCAGAGGCCATTGTGTGTTGAAGTGGAGCTCACATCTGAAGTATTTTGTCATGAGGCTCAAGTCATACGTCAATTTCAATAAACTTTGAGCAATGGTACAATTGTTTTTTTTTAATAAAAAAAAACAATTTTTTATTACACAGCCAGTAAGAACCCTTCATTTTACTGTACTCACAAAATTACTCCAAATTTAAACCTATGATGAATGACTGGCTTTTCTACTACGGATATTCAAAATTTCATAAATTAAAATAAACAACCTTAAATGTAGCAGCACTGTAATATCCCAGCACAGATTTAGGTAATGGACTGTATCATATCTTAAAACTTCAAATTACACTGTGAACTAAAATACTCATAAATTTATAGAAAAAATTTATATTAAGTAAATTTCCTTTTTCTTAATGATTCTTCCTGTTTTATTACCAATTCTTTCTATACTATAGTAATGAAACCATCAACATCAACTGTTTCTAAAAAGCTTTATACATCTTTAGAAGATATACATCTTGAATATATATGAATATGTCTTGAGTATGTATACATTTGTATGTTTAAGACATTCATGAATGTAACCTGTTTGAAATTACCTACTAAAAATTGATGCTAGATCTAGAGTGATGATACAATTGTTTACACATTGTGACTAAGGACTGGTGAAGTGATAAATTCTTTTGCATTGTGATGTGCACAGTTCCACTTGGGGTCCAGTGTAGGAAGGTATAGTTTCAGTATGGTTTAAGTTTACTTTAGTGGCAGGTGTGTTAAAAGCATAGTTCTCATTCTGAGAATATTAGGAAGTGGTGGAAACTTTTACACATGGAATCTAGATAGAGTGCCATGACCTACGTGGCCAATGAGGTTCCCTGTGTGAAGAACCAGGAGAGAATGAAAAAACAAAAAAGAGACAAAGCTGGAGTTTGGTGGAGTCCTTATCCTCCTCACAGGATGAAAAGAACTGGCCCCTCATTTTTGGCTTGTTATCATATACCATTTAGCACCATACTGTCATATGATATCCTGCCATTCTATTCAGATTGTCTTGGGGTTAGGTGTTCTGTGGGCTGAAGCAGCTACTTCTCTTAGAAAAGAAAAGGCAAAATATTGATATCATCTACCGCTTCACTAAATGCAGTGGGTTTCACTGAATGTAGTGAAGAAAATTGTTTTCAAGTGAAAATATAATGCAAAATGACACTGTGGTTTAAACAGTCATTATTACAGATAAATCATTTTAAGCCTGAAAGCAATAAAACTGTTAAATGATAAAGTATATTATGCAAACTATTCTGAGTACAATTATGAACTTCAGATAATAAAATCTTAATTACCATTTAAGACTATGTGGAGAAATCAGTTCAGTTACAGTGAACAATATTGTACATGTTGAATGACAATGAAAAAGTTAGTAATGATGATCATATTATAAACACATACATAACAGTTTATACTGTGCACTATACATATGACATATCTTGCCTGTTAAATTAATAAATGAACCAATAATACTTCATAAATATTAGCACAATACCTCTTGTTAGCAAAAACAATATTTTCCTTTACTCTTCTGAAAAACAAATTTATTGCATGTCTTCCAATAAACGTAATGAAAGCATTGTTATAATAACTCTTTATGTGTTTCTGGTATCACTTTTTAAATCAATTAATACACGCACAATTTTCTCTTACGATGATAGTTACAAAGCAACTTATATGTCCATCAAAAGATAAATAAATAAAGGAAATGTGTTTATACAAAATGAAGTACTGCTCTTCCACAGTGGAAAGTAAACTAGAGTCACTTGTAGGTAAATGTATGCATTTTGAGACAATAATTTTTTTATCAGTACTGGGGATCAAATCTCGACTGCTTGCTTGCAAGGCACGTGCTTCTGCTCCTGAGGTAAATCCCCAGCCCCTTGAGACTATCATTTTAAGTGACATAATTCTGACATACATTTTAAATACCTCATTGTTTCTCATACATAAGAAACACAAAGTATACATAAGAAGCAAAATAAAAGAGAATAGGAAGTAGATAGATCTGTCTCAAATAGGAAAGAGAACAAGAGGAGGAGCAGGGGAGATAATTGGAGGGAAAGGGGATAAAGTAAGCAATTATGATATGTTAGCATGTGTGCATCAATTTCATGTTATACTTTGTTTCTTTTCAAAATAAAAAGAATACTTTGCTTCTTTTCAAAATAAAAACATTATTAATAAACAAAGGAATGCCTTAGAGCAACTACGGTCAGCAAGTGCCCTCTTATGTCTACCAACAACATACCATCATACCAACAGAGTAGTTTAAAAACTCCAGCTTGGACTGAAACCTTCACATTTCTTGCTTCACAGAGCATTCCA